CGGGTTTGGTTCTGGTGTGCACAGGCTGGTGTAGGAATGGGCCGGGTTTGGTGCTGGTGTAGGAACGGACCGGGTTTGGTTCTGGTGTGCACAGGGCCGACTCAGTGGCACCTAACAAGAAGAACTGATCATTCCACTTTGCTTCATTTCCAGTGAAGTTAAACATTTTTTCATTAATTACTTGGGTCTTCTAGCATGTGAATCAGCTAATTATATCCTATGTTCATTCTTTGGTTCTTAATTTGTAAGTGCCCTTCTGTATTGATTTGCTTTATAAATAATATCTGTGTTAATGGGAGAGAGTAATATTTCTTATTCGATTGTTCTCTACTGTTGGTGTTTATTTTTAAGGTAATTGTAGTGCAGTCTAATTTGTATACCGTAGATTCACAGATTCAGTGACTTTTAGCAAATGATTTTTAACAAGTTGTGCTACAATCCAATTTCAGAGACTTCTGTTACCCTGTGAGATCCCATGGGTCCATTCACAGTGAAATCTTCAGTCCCTCAAACAGCCACACATCTCCTTTTCTGCCTATAGATGCACCTTTTCTGAACACTTCATACCAATGGAGTTACGATAGTCTTTTACATAGTAGTGTATAAGCTTTCCACAGTTTTACATTATAGATATGTAACAATATTTTTCCTCTTCAATTCTGCAAGCATTCTCATGTTTAGAAACTCCTTCGTTTCAGGCAGGACATGTTGGTTCTAATGTTTGTCATAAAATACTGAATTTCTAAATCCTTGCTTGTAGCAAATAACTTCCGCATCCTTTTAAAACTTGTTAGGAGTAAAGCCATCATTAGGAATTTGGACTCCCGAAGCCATTTGTCTGATGAAGAAAATTGTACAGAACAAAATGATCACAGTAAAAGTGGTGGACAAGTTGGAAAATAGTTCTCTGGTAGAGCTGGTGGATAAGTCTGTAATGCCTAGCATCAGTGTCACTAAAGTGCTCATAGAAGCAGGCTTTGCCGTGGGAGAAAAGGAAACAGTGACAACTAAAGCCAGCAGCCTGAAAGTCGATTGTGGTAAGTAAGCTTTACACCAGGTAGTTTCCATGCTGGAGTGTGAATGGTTCTGTAAGTGTGTATTAGGTCCTTTGTACTTAAATTGATGTTGAGTGCTTTTTTGGAAATCAAGCATTACTCTAAATACACTTAAGAGTTGGGAATTTTTAAAGAAGTGGACATTTTTTGCAAGTTTTTAGGTCACACACAGCTGTAGGTTCTCAGTAATGTGAATTTTTAAATTCAGTGAGGTAATAACTGTTCATTTTAAGACTGGTTAATTTTCTGATAAAAGTCACTTAAGAAGTCATTGGGCATTCATTTCTTTTTCACAAACAGACTCTTCAGTACCCAACCCCCTCTCTCCATCGCCACTCTGGCCAATGTGTTTTGCAAAGTGTCCCTTTATTTCCACAGTTCCTTTGAGCATCGAATCAGCAAATCCGTTGGAGTGGACATGGGTTGAACTTGCTGTTGACCAAACAGCAGATGTTGAGGTCTGTGTGATATATAGTCCTGGAGAATTCTATTGCCATGTGCTTAAAGAGGATGGTGAGTTGACTCTTCTGATTTACCTTTTTTTCCCCTCCAGTAAATACACTGGTATAAATAATGACTTGAGGAAGATATGTTTGTTATTGACTGGTAACAAAAGAAGGGCCAAGTGGGTATTTGTTACCTCCAAAAAAGATCTGATTCTCTTTAAAGTCATTCTTTTTCTCCTTCCACCAATCTGTCTTTAAATCAGTTTAGAGTTCCCAAAATGTCTCCTGAATTCATGTTTGAAAATTAAATTGTTGATTTTATTGAAATAATCGCCTAATTGAGATAGAGTCGCAGGAGTGTGGCATGGTCAGTGTCACAAAAACCAGTTCACTCCTGTAATCACCTCAGGCTGGAAAATCCCCCGTTAGCCTATCCGGAGGTTTCCTTCACATCGCCTCTGATCCCTGCCCTGTCTTTTTTTTTTTTTTTTTTAAAAGAACACGCTCCTTACTTCCAATAAGATAAAGTAGTTCTTCCTGGTTTTTGAACTTTCTGTAAATGAACAAATGTATATTTTCTGAGCTTTGCTGGGTTTTTTCTTCACATTGTGTGTTAGATTGATCCAGTGTTTTCACACATAGCATTAGCTCTTTCTTTATGTTGCTACATAGTATTCCATTGCTTGAACAGACCCCCTAACTGAGTACTCCTTTCTACTCTTGGCCCTTTGGGTTGTTTCCAATATGGAGCTAAAAGGAAGCTGCTTGTATATTTCCTGTACAAATCTGCACATGGGTGTGACTGCTCACATTAGGTGTGACATTCCAGAGTTATGGAAAGGAATCCTGGTATGGTGCTATTGGTCAATGAGCCGATTGCAAGGTCGGTTTGAGCTGCAAGATCAGCAGTTCAAGCTCACCAGCTGCTCCTCAGAAACCCTACACAGGGTCTCTGTGAGTCTGAACTGACTCAGCAGCTCATAACAACAACAAAGGGTACAAAGAGTGTTGTGGCCCTGTAGGGTAAGCATGGGGTTATACTATACAGGGTTGCTATGACTCGACCTTGATGACACCTAAGAGCATATAATGACAGCAAAAGTGTATGTTTATTGAATACCAAGCAGTTTCCCAGCCGGTTCTGACACATTGCACACTGTCAGTTTGAGAGTCTAAGTTGCTCCACAGCTTAACACTTTATGGTTTGTATCTTTCCCACTTGTGTCCTTCTGGTGAACGTTGTTAATTTAAATTTTTCTAAATTTTGTTACCTAGTTTGAAATCAGGGGTCCTGGTGTGATGCTGTAGGATAATCACTGGACTGCTGACTGACTGCAAGGTCCGTGTTTCAGACCCACCGGCCCCTCCTCAGAAACCTTATACACAGTTGCTGTGAGTCGGAACTGACTTAGCAGCTTTGTAACAACAATCTCATGTCAAAACAAGGATGTTAAACTAGAGAGTAAGGCTCTGCTAGCTCTCAAATTGTGCCATCTCTCATCCCTTCATCCACAGTCCTCTGACCAATACATTGTATAAGATGCAATTTAAAATTTTAACTTCTTTTTTACTCATTTCCATCTGCAATTGTATAAGAATATGGTACCAAAAAAAACCCAAAAGCTCAAAAGAGTATACAGTGGAAAGTAAGCATTTCTGTGTCTCTTATGTTTTCTAAGGATCCTTTTATATTGTTGTTGTTGTTCAGTGCCGTCAAATCGATTCTGACCCATAGCAACCCTGTGTAGGGTTTCCAAGGAGCAGCTGGTGAGCTTGAAACCACCGACCTTGCAGTTCAAACGAGTTTGCAGTCTGAAGCATTAGCCCACAGCGCCACACCAGGGCTCCTTTTTATAGGTACTGTCAGTTTGTTAGTTGTCTTCCAGTTGAAGGGTGAACTCACATATGCAAGGGAGAACTGCTTCCTAGGACTTTTTCACAATTGATTTCCCTTTTCTTTTTTGTAATGTACACAGAAACACTCAGGGGTATATAATCATTTAAACAACCAAAGGCCACATTCTGCAAGCCTGCCTCCTGGCCGCCAGCACACAACACAGCCTTTCTCTTTCCATGGGTCTGGAGTTCTCAGCTGCTCTATCTCTGCCTCCATCTCTGGTGTCGCTGATTCTCTGGTTAGGGTCCCACATTCTGCTCATGTTTCTCTGTCTTGATGGTCCTAGGGTCCTCTGTTCCTGTAAGATTAACTATTCCTCCCTTTGTGTTACAAAACTTCTACCTTTACAGTTGTGATAATCACAGTCATGATAACAATTGTTGTTAAGTGCCGTTTAGTCGGTTCCGACCCATAGCGACCCTGTACAGGGTTTCTGAGGCTGAAATCTTTACGGGAAAAGAAAACCTCATCTTCTACGGAGCGGCTGGTAGTTTTGAACTGCTGACCTTAAGGTTTGCAGCCTGATTTGTAACTACTACGCTACCAGAGCTCCTTATGATGATAATTATTCACTATTAAATCATAAGACTCTTATCCCCATCTCCTTTCACCAGACCCATCTAGACAAGATGAAAACAATTCAGTGGGGATTATACCTTCCCACCCACACTCTGAAACTGAACTCTCTCTTGAAACCTTGTAAGCCAGTCACTTTGTGCCTTTATAGCCACCACCACCCCTCATTTTAGGTAGCCAGTGTCTAACTTGCCTGTCCTTGTTGACTCTGTATACTGAGGGGACAGACTTGATCCTTAAAGTGAAGACTCCTTCCTTCTTGGTTGATATTTTGAGCTATTATATCCATAAGTATATAGGTCAAGTTCATCAAATTGTAACAATTTACACTTGCTTCTTGTGTCTGATTTATTTTATCTTCTTCTAGAAGAGATCTGGTCATCAAGTCATCAAAGATAGGACAAATGGGTACTATGTGCAAGTTTGGGCATTCTTGTGCATCCCTAGAGTTTTTAAGGCTGTTGTGAAGTGCTGTCGAGTCGGTTCTGACCCACAGCGACCCTGTTACCGGACTTTTTTTCCTTGAAGCCACTGAGTGGGCTGGAGATGCCATCCTTTTGAAGAAAAATCAAGTGCTTAACTGTGCCACACTGGCACATTTCCTTGATTGACATTTTATGTGATCACATTTGTTGCAACTACGAAACCAACACTGGTAAATTATTAATGAAATGCCAGACTATATTTGGATGTCACTAGATTTCCCACTAACGCTCTTTTTCTATTCCAGGATCCAATCCTTGAGGCCACATTGATGTTTAGTCACCGTACTTTTAAGGGTTACCTGGTGTCCAGGTGTATGGACTTGTCCTAATTTTGTTCATTTAGATGTGGATGAAGGAGGGGTTTCCAAGCATTTGTTATTAAAATGATCCTTGTAGAAATAAAAACATCCCCTGAAGTCTTAGATAAATGATCATTTATCTTAAGTAGTAAAGAATGTCTGCTGTGAGCATTGTGCCCTTTTAAAGATTAAGGATAGGGCTGACAAGAACAGTTCGGAAGATAGGACTTTTAGAGGCAGTGAATTTCTATTAAAGATCCCTGGTGGCACTTTGGGCTGTGTAACCCAAGCAGGCTTGGCAGCTTAAACCCACCAGCCCCACTGCGGGAGAAAAAATTCCAGCCTTGGAAACCCTATGGGGTTTCTATGAATGGGGTTTGGTTGGTTTGGGGTTAGAAGTCATGTTAATGGAGAAGGAAGGACTCAGGCAAAGGAGGGTGAGACCCACTCCACAGCTTGGAGAGTATAATCAGTGTCACTAAGTTGCATTGTATGTGGCGCTGTGGGCTAATGCATCAGACTGCAAAGTCGTTTGAACTGCAAGGTCAGTGGTTCAAATTTACCAGCGGCTCCTTGGAAACCCTATACAGGGTCGCTATGGGTCAGAATCGACTCTACGGCACTTAACAACAACATACATTCTGATGAAGAATCAAAGAGCACAGCCTTCGGTATGGATTGCATCTCAATGTAAAAAAAACAAAAATCCTCACCACTGGACCAATCAACAACATTTTTATCAGTGGAGAAAAGATTGAAGTTGTCAAGGACATCATTCTTCTTGGATCAACTATCAACACTCATAGGAGCAGCAGTCAAGAAATCAAACAACGTATTGCATTAGGCAAATTTGCTGCACAAGACCTTTTTAAAGTGTTGAAGAGCAAAGATGTCAGCTTGAGGACTAAGGTACGCCTCACCCAAGCCATGGTATTTTCAATAACCTCATATACATGTGAAAGCTGGACTGTGAATAAGGAAAGCCGTAGAAGTAGAAGAATTGATGCTTTTGAGTTATGGTTGGAGGAGAATATTGAAAGTGCCTTGGGCTCCCCAAAGAACCAACAGATCTGTATTGGAAGAAGTGTATCCAGAGTGCTCCTTGGAGGCCAAGATGGCCAAACTTAATCTCATACTTCGGACATATTGACAGGAGGAACCAGTCACTGGAGAAGGATATCATATTTGGTAAGGTGGAAGGTCAGAGAAAAAGAAGAAGACCGCAGCAAGATGGATTGGCAAAGTGGCCGCATCAATGGGCTCAAGTGTGGCACCAATTTTGAGGCTGGACCAGGACCAGGTAGTGTGTCGTTCTGTTGTGAGTCAGTACCGACTCAATAGCACCTATCAACAACAACAAATACATTCTGTGTACATACTCAACAACAAAAATTAAAATAAAAGGCAGAAATAATCCTTGTACTCTGTGACTTGTACATTTGAAGAATACCTTTGGAACATCTTCTTAAGTCAGTTCTAACAATAGTTGAATATCTCTTTTTTCCTTTTACTATCTGTATCTTTATAACTTTGATGTTTGTCTTTGATGGTCTGAGAATGATGACATCAGCAAACTACACACTGTAGCATAGTATGTAGTGCATGTTACTAATGACAAGATGTACGAAACTAAAGTCTATGTGCCGCTCGTGGTAACTCAAAATGCATCATAAGGTGGGGGCTTACCTGTACTTGAAGGAGCTCTGGTAGCGTAGTGGTTACGAATCGGGCTGCTAACCTCAGGGTCAGCAGTTCGAAACTACCAGCTGTTTCTTGGGAGAAAGATGAGGCTTTCTTCTTCTGTAAAGATTTGTTGTTAAGTGCCATCGGTTCCGACCCATAGCAACCCCGTACAGGGTTTCCAAGGCTGTAAATCTTTACGGGAGCAGAAAGCCTGATCTTTCTCCCGCAGAGCGGCTGGTAGTTTCAGACTGCTGACCTTGAGGTTAGCAACCTGATTTGTAACCACTACACTACCAGAGCTACCAGAGTAGAGATTTATAGCCTCGGAAACCCTATGCAGGGTCGCTATGAGTTGGAACCAATTCCGCAGCACATAGCCGCCGCCGCCACCACCTGTACTTGGCATTTGAAAGCTCCCCGTGGTCTGGGTCTTTGCAGCATGCCTGGTGTTTTCCTTCTGTTGCTAACATTTCCCCTCCTCTGCATCTCCAAACTGCACCCTGCCAAGTTTTTTTTGGTGGCTGCATTCTGTACTTTGCCTCAGAACTTCTTTCTGGAATCCCCTCTCCTTTTCCATCAAATGTGTCACACTTCAAGTTTCTGTGGGGTCTCTAACCCACGGAGCTTGCCTCCCTGGGTTCTTTGAGTACATACTGTCTGTGCCGTTTGATCTTTTCGTAACTCTTCCGACTCCTCGGGCCATGCCATGTGCTGCTGCTGCAGCTTCAGAGCAGCTCTTCTGTGACCCTTCTTCAGGCATGGGCTTCCACACCATTCCCTTGTCCACATGTGAAGGTCATGCCAGTGATAATGTCACCGTCATGCCCCAATATCATAGATATTGGCTTGACTTGTGAGTATTAAATAAATTACAAATCATTTGGCCACTAAAGGTTTTATGTTTTTCATATTGTTAGGAATTCTAATAAAGTTTATTATTATTATTATTATTATTATGAATTGAGTGATAGTTTACATGCGAGAACATTGGTTTTACATTCATCATTTCATTGCAATGATTGCAATCTCCTCTGTGCACCATCATTCAACACTATTTGCTTCTATTTCTTCTGTCTGTTTGTTTGTTTTTAGATGTACATAAAAACACTCAGGAATATGTAATCGTTTAAACAACCAAGGGCACATTCTGCAAGCCATCACTGAAGTTATTAATAAGGAATATAAGGGATAGATATTTTGTGTACTTAATAATTGTTTGAGGATGTGCCTGAGATTTTGTGATGGAAACATTTTCTTTAGAGGAAAATCTGTATCTGCATATTTGTATGCTTTTTAATATTAAGTGCAGCATGTGTTGTATTTCAGCTTTAAGTAAACTCAATGATTTGAACAAATCACTGGCGGAACATTGCCAGCAGAAGTTGCCCAATGATTTTAAGGCAGAAATGGGACAACCTTGTTGTGCTTTTTTTGCAGGTAAGTTGCAGTTGGGGTAATCTTAACTTTATTAGAACCTTACTTTTAGTAATATATTTTCTTGTTGAAGCAATTGCTTTTCACAACCAAGACTAAGTGAACACTTTTGGTATGTGTTTCCCCTTCTGCCCTGTAATAAGAAACCTCCAAATGATACTTTTTCACTTAAGCTGTGTTACACATTACTTCAATGCTTTTCTTTCCAGAATTTCTGATAATAGAATAATTTAGGTAATTATTGTTATTAAGTGTCGTCGAGTCAATTCTGACCCGTATTGACCCTGTGTAGGGTTTCCGAGGAGCAACAGGTGAGCTTGAATCACTGACCTTGCAGTTCAAATGGCTTTCCAGTCTGGCACATTAACCCACAACACTACACCAGGACTCCAAATTTAGGTAGTAGGAGGAATGTTATCTGCAGAGTCCATGTTTTCATCTGGTCATTCTTGTGCATGTTTGTTTGAAAATATATTTGATGAAATACCTTCAATTCATTGTGAGAATTTCTGCTATTTATTTTTGTATGATTTTACCAAATAGAAAGTAAAACAGTCTAAGCCATTAGTGATGAGAGTATTGTTAATCTCCCTGGATTGACAAGTATATCAAAGTTCAGTAAGTCTTGGAGTTCACATTCTGTTTATTGGCTGTGTTATGAAGGAAATCTTTGACTTTCATCAGTTATGGGCCTCTGGAATGTTTCAGAGATACTCTTCAAAGTAAAGCTTGAGAATTTTTATACAGGCTTTTGAAGAGGAGAGTGAAGTTTTGGGCTGCACTAGACAATGGATGTCTCTCTTAGGACGAGCATCTGAAATGTTTGCAGAAAGGCAACATTCCACACTAACACTTTTGTGTTACCTCTAGGTGATGGCAACTGGTACCGTGCTCTGGTTAAGAAAGTCTTACCAAATGGCAAAGTGGAAGTACATTTTGTGGATTATGGAAACATTGAAGAAGTTACTGCTGATGAGCTTCAGACTATCTCGGCGAAATTTTTAAAGCTTCCATTTCAGGGGATACAGTGTTGGTTAGTAGGTATGGTGCAGAATAAGATTTTTCTCAGCTGTCTCCTACTGCTTTTAGGGCATATTATTATTATTATTAATTGATAATAAATTGTTAATACCCATCATTTTAAGATTGTTGTATAAACTAGAAGATCCTGCTTGGAATTTTCAACTTCAGAAATGTATTTTTTTTTAAAGATATGGGTCCTGCTTTCCTGTACAGCTGATGGTGATGAACACAGGAGTGAGTGACCTTCCATTGGGGTCGGAAGGAGCCCTGGCAGCGTAGTGAGTTATGAACTGGGCTGCTAATCACGAGGTCAGCAGTTCAAATCCAGCCACTCTGCTTGAGAAAGATGAGGCTTTCTGCTCCCCTAAAGATGTACAGTCTTGGAAACTGTCTGCAGGGTCACAGTGCGTCAGAACTGGCTCAGTGGTGCACAGTACCAGTTTACCCCAGAGAAGTCATGTTGTCCTGGCACAAAATTCAGCTACATGGGAATGGATTGCAGTGTTGTTAGCACAAATGAAGAGTAGTTCCAAAGGATGGCCCATGTTATAAATAACAAGAATATGCTTTTTCATAGCATTTTTGTAAGGATTAAATGACTGTCTAGAATTGGACCTGGAATGTAGAAAGCTCTGTTTAAGTGTCTGCTGTTATTGTAAGTCATTAAAATGATGCTAAGTTCGAATGTATGTTACTGAGATGAAGTACAGTTAATATTTTCCGTGACGAAGACAAGTTATAAAGACGTGGGGCAGAGCATCATGGGTAAGAGTCTCTGGAATCAGCTCTGCTGCCTACTAGTTTTGAGGCCTTAGGCAAATTATTCAAATTGGAAAATGATTGTTTCTTCCTCCAACTCACTAAGATTAAAAGACATAAAAAAGATAATAAAGCACATAAACAGTGCTTGGCAGTATGTTTACAATAACCCAAACATGCCAAGACCACTGCCATTGAGTCGATCCTGTCTCATAGTGACCCTGTATTACAGGGGTCCCCAGGCGGGAGATCTTTATGGTAGCAGAAAGCCTCATCTTTCTCCTGCCAAGCACCTGGTGGGTTTGAACTGCTGGCCTTACAAATTTATAAATTATGATTATAAACATATAATACAGATTGCCCTTTACAAAAGAAAATTTTAGTTCTCTGTGTACAAATTTGTGTATCTCCATCAGAACGTAAACATTATGGAAGGTTGGGTATCAGAATGTTAATAGTGGTTATGTCTGTAAGCACAAAGGTTTTCATCTTCTAGTTTGTATTTTGCTCATCTGTTTCCTGTTGTTTGTACAGCAAATATCTTTCAGGTGGTTTTTGTTGTTGGTTTTAGCTATCATGATTTCTATGCGCGTTTCTCAAAATTTGCTCCCAAAATTGACCAAATAAACATGATGATTCAATTTTAAAAAGTCACATGATGGTGAGTTACTGAAAAAAAAAAAAAAAAA